ATTTGTTGGTGGAATAGTTAGTTAAATTAAGGGGATTTCCAGCATGTGGTGCACCATGTGAATGTGGACCACAACTACCTCCTGTCGAACACACACACACACACACACACACATATACACACACAGACAGACAGACGAAGGCAGACCGCCATGAAGTTTAAGTGGAGCTTATTAATTTCCTATTAAGGCATTTCATTTTAAGGGCAAACAGAGGGCTTCAGACTACAGTAAGGCAACAGATGTAGGGCGGGACAGAGACAGATGGAGGACGAGAGGAAGGACATGAATGCAAAGGGGAAGAGGAGTGGTGTCTTTTTGTCTGTATGTGTGATTACTGCAGTAGTCACAGCTAGCAGGAAAGCATGGTGTTATTTTTAAGCACAGACAGATGTATAGATAGGTGCAGAACACTTTCAAACACAGTTTCAGCAGAGTAAACCTGTTGCACCCTCTTACCACAAAAATCAAAACCCCTGTGCAATGTAATGCAAACTAACAGAACAGGCATTATTTGCTGTATGTTGGGTTTTATATGTCACTAACTGAAACTGACACTGTTGTGAAACCTGATATTAGGAGTTTTATTTAACTCCTCTGAAGCACAGCTGCAACAAAAATGTTTTTGAAGACTGTTGTTAAAAGTGGCATTGTACTAGATTGCATTATATTGAATTAGATTATATTAAATTTCAAAATCATTTGAACTATTTTTGTTCACCCCTGTTTCTGGACAGAAAAAGAACAACAGTTTTCAGTGCTGGTTGAGCGCCTCCTGTACAGTTGCCTCTGGGGTTTAGTGTTCACACTGTTGGAGCTAAATAATCTTCCACCTTAGTCTTTTTTTCTGCCAAGAGAAGCTTTATATATGTTGTGGGCCTATAGACCACATTTCAACATATTAACTGCACAATCTTCAGATGGCAAAACAGGAGCAAATGTTTACAAATTCTGCTGCATAATTGATTTTCTCACAGTAGCATCATCTGCTTTTCTAATTCAACTAATGTCACTTCACTCCAATCCAATTGTGTCCCCTCAATATAAAAAGAACAATCACAAAAAAAAAAATAAATTAAATAAAATACCCAAATTAAGGGTGTCGCAGTGTACCTGTATTTTACTGTGATTTAAAAAAAATTAATTATTAAAAATATGGTTGCATAATATATTGTACATTTGTGGTTACAGACTCTCTGTCCTCCTCCTGCACTTTTTCTTAGTGTAATTCATTTTCTTAACAAGAGACAAAACACACAATGAACAAGGTTAAAGATGATTTGACTGAGAGCCCCCCCCCCAAAAAAATAAATAAAAATAAAATAAAAAATTCTGTAGATGCTGCACTAATATAAGAAGCCTTTTGGCCACAATAGTTGTGTAGTGAAAATCTGATATCTTGACAGCCCTGGCTTCAGTATAATTTTGAGCAGACACTATCCCAAACACTTCAATTTCTGACTTCCTTTTATAGCAATTTAGATTTTTAAAAAAAATTGCCACAAAATCTATAACCAATTAAATTTATGAATGACATTGATATGTACTAACATAATGTGAGATCACATAGTCTACAGTATTTTGTGCAACCAATTTTTTCATGATTAAGGCACATTCAATTCAGTTCTAGTCACATACTATTCTTTGATTCATTGTATAATTTAGACAAATATGCTGCTGACTAAGTCGTGTGGATACTAATGTACACTACTGATGTACACTCATCAGCCACCACATTAAAACTGTCTACCTATTATTGTATAGTTCCCCCTTATGTTGCTAAAATGTTTCTAACCTGTTGGAGTATTGACATCTCTGAGGGTGTCCTGTAGTGTTTGGCACCAAATTCACACAGATGCTGGATTTGATTGAAATCAGGAGAGTTTGGTGGCCGAGTCAACGCCTTGGGCTCTTTGTCATGTTGCTTGCACAACGCCGGAGCAGGTTTTGCAATGGTGGAGGCCGCTGGTATTGGGGAGTGCTGTTACCATAGGAGTGTGTGCATGTTTAGGTGGATGGTACATGTCAAAGTAGTAACACATAAATGCCAGGACACAAGGTTTCCCTACACAACATTAAATTGTAAAAACATGATCAGTGTCATTCACTTTAACCTGCCAGTGGCTTTAATGTTGTGGCTAATCGAGGTATAGTCACATTTGTTTCTTGTGATGTAACTTAACTTAAACGTGGAATTTTAAATGCGAAATATTTATGTGATGGTTTGGTATATGTTATGAAAATGTAACATTCATAACCAAATCAAAATCTAATGTTAGAATAAGACAATATTAAACTGATGATAAATGTTCTGACATGAACTGGACTCAACAGGAAGTTCTTTTAAATAGTGTTTAAGCTAAAGTTGATAGATGTAACTACTACTTAGTTATATTTTGTCCATTATTTAGGTCAGTGGTAATATAGTCAGATATGCTTACAGAATACTGTTGTGCTTTGTGTGATAATGGTGCATTAGTGGTACTGTAAGCTCATGTATGCATGTCCAAATGCATGAGTGTGTGTGTTTTAAGCAGTCATATTATCTCCAGCAGCACAATGAGCTGGTGTCACATATCAGCTCTGGAAAGTCCCTGGATAATTACACTGGACTTTCTCTCCCTCTCTCTCTTCCTTCTTCTCCTCCTCTCATTCTCTTCTTCCTTCTCTACATAAAATGTCATTACTTGTCTTTCTTTTTCTTATTCTTTTTACATTTTCAAAACTGTTTACTCTATCACTCATAATTAGCTCTCTGCATTCATCTTTTTCTCTAATTCTTTTTGCCTTCTACCCAAAACACACATCTCAGCCAAATCTAGCCTCCGATGTGTAGCTGCATTTTGTTTTAAAATTCATCACCGTGTATTTACGGAATCTAAAGAGATTAGAGAGCATCAACAGGGTGTAGCAAGTGTTCTATGTAGACCGCAGTTCCATCAGAGGAGGAATATTAAAGGTCTTTCGTACATTTTTTCATTCACATTTTGATTGTACGTTCATGATACTGCGCACGCAGTCGAGTTTCAAGTCCAGGGGAATTCACAGCAGCCTATTTCCATATTGCTGCTATCTAAAAGTGAAAGCTCTAACAATCTGCCCATGCTGGAGGCCTATTCTAAGCCTCAGCACAACTTTCCTGTTATGGTGCAAAGCTGCAGTACTGTATTTAACATACTGACTAGAAGGGCCGTCCCAGGTGGGTTAGAAGCATAAATGCGGTCTTCAATTTACGAGAAATTCAAATTGAACATTTCTCCTTGTGTCATGTAGACAAAGCCAGCATTCCCTGCAGTGCAAAAGAAAACCTGCGGTGTTCATATTTGACATATGAGATTGCACAAAAAGGTTCAGCAAATTCTAACTTGGCTATTTGCTGCATTTTTAGGTGCTGCAGTAATGGTAAACTAAGCTTAAGGCATTGAAAAGTTACAGATGTCTAACCACATTAGATTGTTTTGCTATATACTGTATAGTAGCCCTTTCAAATGAGGTTAGTGTGAGTATTGAACTACAAAAAAAAGGTCCAAATGTAAGAGTGTCATATTCGTCTCATAAAGGGAAAAAAAACACATTATTACCCAGTTTGACAGAGCATGAATTGTGTACGTTATGTAAACTTTATGATAACACAGAGTACTCTACTGTTAGTTGCAGCGCCAGCTGGCACGGTGCCATCTCACTACTGAGAAGGAAAGGCCAGGTTGATTTATTTACTGGCAAGTCTTTGATCAGTCAGCGAGAAAACCAGCCAACCATCAGGCAAGTGAGCTCACAGGTGGAGTTCAGATACGCTCCTCGATTCCAAGAAGGAACAAACCCCTGATGTTGTTATTAGAGAGCTTTGCAGACATTTTCTGCACATTTTCAGTACTTTCTTAGTCAGATTGTCAGATTCTGTTGTGGTCAGTCAGTCAGAAACATTCCAAGGTGGGTAATTTACTAAAAAGGAGTGAATGTTTCTATTTGAACATCTACACTTTCCTGATTTCAGCATTTGGTTTGGTCATTAATGACAAACGCAGCTGAGTGAATTTGATAAGTGTCAGATGGCCAATTAGAGAACTCACATGTTCAGGCACGTAGCTACAAATGTCCATGTGTGTAAGCAGGCTGCTGTTATTCGTTCCATAAAAAGAAATATATAAGAAGAAAATGTGTGAGCGCTCACATTACTTATTTAATGGACCACGGCTGGTAGCACGATAAATGACTCCAAACCTAAAGCATAAAGGCAACAACCAGAGTCCATTTCTTTTTCTTTTTACCTAAAAGTCTTAATCCGTGTTCTGCACTTATATTTAATTTTGTATTTGCATGTTGGTCAGGCCTTTACTTTGGTCCAAACTAAAATATCTCAGCACTTATATAGATTGTCCTGTGGGCCCACCAGCAGGTCACATTTATTACATATTCAGTGAAGAATAGCAAGATTCTGTGCAGAAATTCATGGGCCCTAGAGGAGATGTCCTAATGGTGCTGGTGAAACCCTGGCTTTAACTGTACTTTAAAGTGTTATAACAAAAAAAGAAAAAAGCAACACTAATGACAATGCCCAACAGCCTTATCTGTACTTTGTATTCAGTACTAGTTGGTAAGTATTACCTGCTAAATGTCAGCACTGACACTGTCAGCATTTCAGTGTACTAAAGTTAGCATTTATTTTAAAGGACTGCTGTTCAGACTCACACAGTCCCTCACAATTGCTTTATGAGTATAGTATACTGAAAAGCCTCCAATATGCTGCAACTACTGTGCAACTTTTCATTTGGGTATTGATCTATTCTTAGTTTTATTGCATTTTCATACATCTTTAAGAAGCTTCTGTTAACATCTACATTTTCTACTGACTCTAGTTAAATAGCAGAAAGAAGTCAGCTCATGATATGTAAACTGAAATACTTATCCAGGCATATCTTACCTATCTATCTCTTTCTTTATAACTGTTCTCTGCTAATCTTTATTTCTCTATATATGACAACTCTATATTTATGTGTGTTCAGGAGTTGAAGCGGTTTGAGATGTTTGTGAAGAAGAAGCCAGCTTTTGATGTGGTCGTAGATGGGCTGAATGTCGCAAACATGACCTTGGACAGAAGCAGGATGGCGCAGACGGTGAGTTTATGAACAGTTCCACTTGCAAAATGTCATTGTAAAAGAGTTGAGCTAAATATATTTTAAGGGTCTGCCTTGTGTGCTCATTCTGCAAACACATATGCTCAGTTTTGCCGTCTAGATTTTAGTGGTTTCTTTCTACATATACGTCTGTCCTACCCCGGGGCTTTTCTGTCGGTTCCACAATGAGTAACCCTGCACTGTGTGTTTCTGTGTGAATGGCAGATGTGTGTAGGAGATGTCTTTAAAAGTGGCCAATGCTTGATTTTAACAACACCTAGCCTACTTGTCTGCCTGCCCACATCTGTCTGTTACTACGTGTGGTTGTGACAACGTCGGCGCTGTGTCTCTGTCCAAAATATGTCCCAGCTGTCTCATATATTATGTGGCTGAAAGACAGAGGAAAGTACACTCTGATAAACTTGTTTCCATATCATCTAAGAATGTAGTAAGTGTAAAAGCTTAAGAAGATGAAAATGAATGCACAAGGCACAAAAATTTACCCCAGGCCCACCAATAGGACCTTTAATTTAATGCATCAATACATTCAGCTGTACAGGTAAAATCTAAAAATACCTGCTGAATTTAGAGTTAACAAGACTGAAATCCTCTTGCTATGCTAGTAACTCCTTGACATTGGACCTAGAGTGGCGACTTCAGCTAAATATGAATGTCACAATGTAAATCTAAATACAAAATACAGCAGAGGCCAATGGGAATGCTTTTAATTTTGCTGGCATTTGGACAATTGATTATGATGGCAGATGAAAGGTCAGGGATTGTCCTTAATGGAACATTAATGTGTGTACAAAATGGAATCAGAATCCATTTAATAGCTGCTCAGATATTTGACTTAAAACCACAAATGTTCTTATTGTGGCACTTTGGGAAAAGTTAGGAAATAGTCAGAAGGATACATCATCCAAGCAAAATGAGTATCTTTGTAAAATTCAAATTCATGCTGCTGAGTAAAGTAGTGACTTTGCAATCCATTGGGCAAGGCTACTAGCATGGCCGTAAATGTTATTTTAAGGTCAGATAATATGACAATAATGGCATTTAAATGGTTCTACATGACCCACAAACTCAATATAGCCACACTCAAAATGTCAAAAATTTAGAATATGTGTTGGGGAGATGCTACAAAATTAGGGATTTTTCAATTGCACTTTCATGTTACATCATTTATGCTATAACAATAAACTGGCAGATATTAGTACTCCCTAGTATTGTTTACCATATTAGTGAGAAATCAGCAACTAATGTCCTGAGTGTGTCTCAGCCATACTGCACACATACAAATGCATGTAATTTACATATTGTGTGTAACAATTTGCAAAGCTTAGTCCAAATGTACAGTGTACTTCTTGTTACTGTACTTTCTAATACTCATCAGTATGTTTTATGATCTACACTCAATCACCTGTTCTAGCAATCAGTGTTAGGAGATGTATGCTGTGTCTTGAAACTGGTATTACTCAGAAAGGAGCTGTTATTTGCATCATGAGGTGTGGTTGTGTATCTGAATGGAGTCTGCAGCTCCATTTGGGTAATTAAATAGTCATGTTCTATTTTTTGAAGTGACTTCGAATGAAACTATTCCAGGACGTATGTGTGTGTTTCAGTTGCTGGCGGTGGTGACAGAGCTTGAGCTTCAGGGCCTGACTATTCTGGTGCTGGGGAGGAAACACATGCTAAATTCCACCAGATCCTGGGACAGAAAAGACATGAACCTGATCCAGCAGAAAGCCCATTGCTTCTTTACTGACGACATGTGAGCATCTGAGAATTTAAAAAAGAACAGTATGCAATGTGCTCCATAGAATTCACATGGGTACCTCCAGAAAATGTGGAGTTAAAGGAGCAACATCAAAAAATGCCCCCCCAAAAAGAATCTCATATTGTCACAAATTATTGATTTGGTCATGAAAGTGCAACTCTTTCAACTTATGTAATAATGAAAAGGTGCTCGAAAATCAAAAAGTATTTGCTGACATTACAGGAAAATGCTGCAACATGTAGGTGGATGACTAATATAGCAAACCAGAACAGTGAAAATGAAATCACACATGGAGCTCATTGCACTTTTATTTTATAGTTCATTGTTTATTTACAGCTTTTTTGTTAATAACAGTATTTATTTGTGATGACAATACCTATACCTCACAACTGCCTATTTGTCTCTCAGGTCAGAGGATGACCCCTTCCTGCTCTATGCCACTTTGAATTCTGGGAATCATTGTCGATTTGTGAGCAGGGATCTGATGAGGGACCACAAGGCCTGCTTCCCAGACGAAGCCACCAGACGGCTCTTTTTCAAGTGGCAGAGAGGCCATCAGCTGGTAGTGTACGGCTACGTCACAGCAGGCACGAGGGTCCGATTTCAGGTGAGGAACGAAGGCATGAGAAGATAGGGTGGATAATTAGGCACGAGGAAATCATACAAATTAACTGTGTGTATGTGTGTTAACAGAGAATTCCCAGCTATGACACCATTGTTCAGACTGCAGGAGACTCGTGGCACATTCCCTACGACGACACAGAGGACAGGAGCACCTATGAAGTGCCACAGCGATGGCTGTGTCTCACCAAAAAGCACTGAACACACACTTATTTCACAGTATCATGTTTTTATTCAAATGCTTTGAATATAACTGTGGACCTGTAAATACATTATTTACAACTCAAGAGGTGTCTGTGCTCTTTGATCCAACTTCCATCTATTCATTATCTATACACCGCTTAATCCTCACTGGGGTTGCGCGAGGCTGGAGTCTATCCTAGCTGACTCAGGGTGAAGGCAGGGGACACCCTGGACAGGTCACCAGTCTATCACAGGGCTACACTTAGAGACAGACAATCATGCACACTCACATTCACATCTATGGACAATTTAGAATCACCAATTAACCTCAACATGTTTCTGGATTTTGTGAGAGGAAGCTGGAGAACCCAGACAGAACCCACGCTGCACGAGGAGAACATGCAAACTCCACGCTGAAAGATCCCGGGTGTCCTCATCAGGACGCGAACCGGCTTCCTTCTTGCTGTGAGGCAACATTGCTAACCACAGAGCCATCTTGCAGCCCTTGATCCAACTTTAAAACGTAAAACTGATTGCCATGAAGACTGTAACACAGATGACTTTAACTACACAGCAGAAATATTGACTGCATATGAGCCAGCTCGCAGCCTTAGATCCTTATGTGAGGACCTTCTGGTTGTTCAGAGAAATCTAAAATAAATATATAAGTGCTTTTGCCATCAGCAGGACCAGAGACAAGAAGTGGTTCGATATGGCCATTGCCTACATAGGCTAGTGTTCCCAAACCACTACTCGCCCCACATAACCAATTTTGAAGCCTGTTAGAGGGCTGCACATGCACTCATAGAACTGGAGTTACATCCAGTAACTACTATTTTTGTGGCAGAACTTTTAAGCACAACCATTTCTCTTTAGCTGCATTTCAACATTGCAACCACCTACAATTTATAACCAAGTAGTTCTGACTGACCAGAAATTTGTTTAGAGAAAAGTGTATTGACAGAATTAAAGGCATCTGTTTTTATATGTATTTGCAGTGTATTAAAGTGTTTATTATTCACGTTTAGCTATGGATTTATTTGTAGTTCTTGTACAGACTCTTTAAGAGTGTAGTGGTGAAACCTACTTTGAAGAGCTCTGGAAACAAATGGTACAAGACTGAAGTACTGACCCAGAATCTGCAGCCAAATGAAAGAAACAGAAGTTTGGAAGGACACCGTGTGTCTGACGTACACATGGGTGTCTTACGTACACTGAAACACACAAAGATTTCCTGGTTTAGTTGAGAAGATGGAGGATTCTAGAGAGATGATGGAATTTTAAAACTCAAGATGAAAAATGAGAATCTCTCTGTGATGCTGCAAAAAGGAAAAGGAAGAGGAGTCAGAGATAAAGGAGGCACTGGAGAAGCATATGAAGATGATGGAGGACATCAATAAAAAATTTTTAAAAAACTGCAGGAAGAAAATAATAAATTGGAGGACAAGAAAATGATGTAGCAGAACAACCCTCTGAAGGAGCACTTCAACTACATGGACCACTACATTAAAAAGCTCCTGACTGAAAAAGGGTGGTTCATAGACCAGGCTCACAGCAACATCCACATCAGGAGGCTGGAGGACGACCTGCTGGAGGCCGAGAGGCTCAAACAGCAGAGAGACAAGAATGTTGAGTTCCTGAAGGAGCAGATTGATGTGAGAGAGAAGGAACTCCAGAGACTCAGTGGTCTGAATAAGAGTCTCTCAGCGACACTCTTTAGCATTTAGGAGCAGCTGATGAAAAAAGAAAGTGAATTCCAGGATAGTAAAAACATGTGGAGGGCTGAGCACAGCACTGTGGAGGAGATCAGAAAGGATGAGGCTCTGAGAGAAGAGGAGAAACAAGAAATGGTCAAGAACCAGAAAGTGATGGAAGAGAGAAACAAAGTCCTGCAGAAGGAGAACAAAGACCAGGAAGACAAGAACGAGGAGCTGCAGGAACTTTGTATACAAAAGAAAAACAAGAGGAGACTTAAAGTTTTTCCAGAACAAGAGGAGCAAAGATGAAAAGACAGAGAAAAGGAAGAAAAAGAACAGAAGGAAAAAAAAGACGGAGCAGTAGAAGAAGGGCTTGTGGAGCCACAGAAGAAGTGTGACAGCGACAGGAAGGTGGAGGAGCTGCTGGTTCAGTGTAGACTGGACAACAGCTGCTCCTGTTGCTTCCCCACCTTCTCCACATTCTCCCCTTTACTCCCTCCTTCATCCTCACCTCTCAAGCCTCTCTCACCTCCATCCCCTCTATTACCCTTTTTCTTCCCTCTTTTCCTTCATCCCTACCCCCTACTACTCCAAACCCCCTTCTATTCCCACCTTTCTTTCCTTCCAGCCCCCCACATCGCAGAGATTTTCAGGAGTTTGTTTGAAGATTTCGAAAGTGAGCTGAAATAAAATTATTTTCAGGTGATCCAGCTTGTAAATAATCAGATAAACATCATAAATTAATAAGTTTTAAACATTTTGAAGTTTAATTTATTACAGGTGATAATAATATTGATCATGGGTTAAGCACAGAAACAAAGACTGTTCTTTGACGAGAGCAGAGTGTTGTACATTTATTACAGGTTGAGCTATAAAGACTGCTGGACTGAGCCTCCAATGTTTCCACATCCCAGTATGACTTCGCCTTAACTTGTGTGACCTTACTGTCTGTTATTTTCCATCCATCCATTATCTATACACTCTCGTGCTTTATAAATAAAGGTACTATTATTAAGAAAAAAACACAGAAAACTACAGAGCTGCAGACTTGACCCGGAACTGACGTCATTGGAATCATTTCCGGTGCAAGTGTTTTCCATGTTTTGTTTCTGTTGCTTCTCAGTTTAGTTTCAGCTTCAGTCTGCATCAGTTTACTTCAATTTTTTCCAGCCGTCATGTCTCGAGGGTCCAGTGCGGGGTTTGACCGGCATATTACCATCTTTTCTCCCGAGGGAAGACTCTACCAAGTCGGTCAGTAGAGCGAGAAATGAACAGAAGTCAACCTGCTCTGTCATCACTGCCCTGCTAACAGGCTAACATTAGCTAGCAGTTTCTAGCTTACTCATTCAGAGCTCAGGGTTTTATAAATACATATTTCTGCACAGTGCGGCAGGATAAACGTAACGATACTTAATATATGAATAAATTTAAGTCAATGCAGTTAAGCATATATTGCAAACTAACCGTGTTCGTAATTTTTTTGCAGTTGTGCTAGCTACATTAGCTAGTTTAATGTAGCTGTGAAGTGTCACCATGAAGTTGCGTTTACAGTTTTTGTTTCATAAATGTTGAATTCCTTTACGTAGCTAGCAGTTAACCCAAGTATCATGTGGTACGTCTAGTTAGCAGATCTTACCTGGGTGGATGCAACAGCTCGTTAATATATGTCTTTATACCAAACTGGCTTTAAAGTGATTTGATTCATGATGTGTTTTTTGGATTGAGTGAATAGAGAAGTGAAGCCCAGCACTGTAAACAGTCATGGAGGAAATGTGACTGTGCTTTGCTGAATGTGAGCACATCACTTATTAATATTCTCAGGCTTGAGTGTTTTGTTTTTTAAAGAAATACCTGTGCGTATATATATGTACCCATTTTCTGGTGTAAACTCTTACTGATTTGTGTTCGTGGAACCGGACAAGGGACAAGTTTGTCAAAAGCAAACGTCTAAAACCAAAACAACTGAGTCCATTCTGCAATTACAGGGAATTTTATCCAAATCACATGATGACCAAGTACAATACTTAAATCCAGGAGCAGCAGTTTTCAGATGAAGGCCAAATGTGTCACAACGTAGCATTATAAAAGAAGCATTGTGATGCCCTGGCCTGCAAATCATCTTCTCCAGGAGTACGCAAAGATGCTTGATACAGACCACAGCGAAATCACATCAACATTTTTACATTTGTTTCAGTGAACAAGAAATGCAAAAACAGTCATCCCCACTAAACTTGTGATGCATATCCCAGTTGTGTCAAAATAATTGCATTATAATTTTTTGGGCTATCATTCAACCCTAATCCTATATGTTTGTCAACAATTTTGAAAAATTAAATGCTCTTCAGTACCTCATGAGCAGTGTTTTTTTTTCTTTTTTGTTTTCTTCCTTCTGTCTTTTTTTTTTTTAGAGTATGCCTTTAAAGCCATCAACCAGGGAGGACTGACTTCCGTGGCCGTCAGAGGGAAGGACTGCGTTGTGATCGTCACGCAGAAGAAAGTCCCGGTCAGTATGCAGCACATTCTAAACATAGAGAAGTTTCTGTTTATTAAAAACTTTTGTCCCAAGCTGACATTGTGGTTGTTGGAACGGTGATGGATTGTGCATGGTTTTACCTTTATAGCGAAGTTACTGCTGCCCTTCAAAGAGATATTAGTCAGAGAACTGAGAATATCAATATAAATTAAAATTGGGGTGGGCTTCATTTACTCAAACATGTAAGACCATTTTGTTCATCGAATGGCCAGAATTAACAGGGAAATGCAGAGGTTTCTGTTAAATAATGGAACACAGACTCCTTGTCTTTACTGTACATGGGACAATCGTGTTTACTGTAGTGTGTAGTCAACCCCCAAAAGCCCATTCTGATCCAAGAAAAACCCTGCTGTGTTCTGCTATGTGGTGTATGTCTCTGTGTGAACAAAGACTTTCCTTATGTATTCCTCAGGACAAGCTGTTGGATGCCATGACAGTCACACATCTGTTCAGAATCACAGAGAGCATTGGCTGTGTAATGACCGGCATGACTGGTGAGCAATGTTTTGTCTGACTGATGCTCTGGAAGTGCATCCATCCATAGAATTAGTTACACTGTTGGTTGGCCAAATAAAGCTCTAAAATTAACCTTCAGCAGCCCAGAGTAATGCTAATGTGAAATGTTTTCAGCAGTAATTTAGACTGATATAATTTGGGCAGTGACTGTAACTGTTATGTTATATTCTGCATTCCACTGTGCATTCATTTGTGTAAAACGTTCTCTTTCTCCCTTTTTCCCTCCAGCTGACGGCAGATCCCAGGTGCAAAGAGCACGATATGAAGCAGCTAACTGGAAGTACAAGTATGGCTATGACATCCCTGTGGACATGTTGTGCAAACGCATGGCTGACATCTCTCAGGTCTACACACAGAATGCTGAGATGAGGCCGCTCGGCTGCTGTGAGTAATATGCATCAGTGTGTCCTTGGATTGTTTGTGTTATGTGAGGCTTTAAACAGGATCGAGATGTGAAAAACATTTGGAATATTTCTTGTCATCTACTTTCAGAGTAGTATAAGGATCTGAATGATTTGCTTGATTTTAAACACCAGTGCAAAATATCTATTATCAGCAGCTTTATATATGATGTCTGTTTCTGATGAAGTCCTTATGTTTTTGTATGCTGTCTAACAGTGATTCCAAATTTGAGGTGAAATACATTCTTTAAAGTGCTGTTCAAAGAGCAAAAAACCAGATGTTTCCTTTTGCTCCCTCTGTCTTCATTCCTCTCTGCCTTGCTTCCTTACTTCAGGTATGATAGTGGTCGGACTGGATGAGGAGTTGGGCCCACAGCTGTATAAGTGCGATCCAGCTGGCTACTACTGTGGCTTTAAGGCCACAGCAGCTGGAGTCAAACAGACTGAGGCCACCAGTTTCTTGGAGAAGAAAGTCAAAAAGAAACTGGACTGGACCTATGAGCAGACTATAGAGGTAGGAGACACACAAATACACACACTCACACTTGTGCATTGGAATTTTGTCATAAAACAACCCTTATGTTTACGGCTGTAGGTTATCAGTCAGAGAAGGTTTCCACTTGTCATAAAGCTTCTAGCATATCAGGGGTTTTCCTGGATATTTCTAGATAGTTCAGTCAGGGAGATTGGTAATTTTTTGGGTCATCGGAAATGTATTGGAGTTTTACAGTAGTGTCTCTGTAGGGAAATGTTGCCCAATGGTTTTCAGGAAATCTGTTGTAGTCTTGAGAAATCAATAGTAAAGTGCTGGGTTTCCTTATATGGCATTGCTACATCAGCCTGATATAGATACAGTAAATGAATTCCGTTCTGTTTATTGTCATCACATGATGCTCTTTTTTGCTCTTTTTGGTTTGTTGCAGGGGTGAATTTACTTTTTCCCATCAAAAATATACATTTTTGGCCAACAATTGTATGTATTAGCTCAGAGTTTTTCAAATCTTAATGTAATCCTCTTGGTAAAAGAAAGAGAAGTCAGATCACACCAAAGTATTTCATGTAAACACTGTACATTTTGTCTTCAAATATGAATAGACATTTCAACAAGCAGTTGTGAGCACACACACACTGACATGGTGCTCTCTGGTAGAAGTAAAGGCTTTCATTTGCTCATTTTAGATTTCATCACTCCAAAAACAACATTGTGTTCCATTTTTCTATATTATTCTACATTACCCAAAGATAGAACGTTTAATTGCTTTTCCTCTCTTTCCTTGCTTGTGTCTGAACAATTCTTCTTTGTGTCTTCAAACAGACAGCCATCTCATGTCTGTCTACTGTTCTGTCCATCGACTTCAAGCCCTCAGAGCTGGAAGTGGGAGTTATCAAGACACAGGAACCCGAATTCAAGTGAGTATGTTTCAAGACTAAGAGAGACCATATCTTCAAAGCCATAATAAAAATGATTTTGGCTTCAGGTAAAAGGCTCTTTTTACAGCCCAGCTGTTGCTTTTTTGCAGAACAAAAATAAAGCAGGGTGTTGCTGAACAAACTTTAAAGCACTAAAATGCTGGTAATGTGTTGGCTGTGTCAAGAAATCACAAGTTAGTTTTAAGATATTGAGCAAAATAGGCTAGTGTTGTAATGGAAATTCCCTAAAACTAAAACCAGGAATGAGATCAAAGCATTGGCTTACATGATCAAGCTTAATCTTTACTTCTGTGTGGGTGTAGGTGTGTGTGTGTGTTTGTTCCACAGAGTTTGGCAAAACAGAAAGAACTTACTGTTTAAATTGTGTGTTTGTATTCCAGGATTCTGTCAGAGGCTGAGATTGATACTCACCTGATGGCTTTGTCTGACAGAGAGTAAAGAAGTGTGCCAGCTGTTTTATAAAAAGAATGCTAAACGGTAAAACCAGAAACTTCCCTCACACAAAAGTCTCAACTAGAAGGAAGACAAAGGAGGAGCCGGTATCATCATGTGCAGAGGAGACGGTAGAAGATAAAACAATAGAGACATTTTATACCAGGTGGGTAGAATGCTATCCATCTGCACCGATACTCGACCACCTTCATCCTACCTGGTCAACACAGGACCTGACGGGACATAATCTTATCCACATACCTACCCCTCCTGTATTTTCCTTCTCTCTAAAATGGGACACTTTTACTGCAGCCAGCTGCCCAATGTCATAGATCTTGGAAAGGACATTCAAATCAGTCCAAAGTATGACACACAAGAACAATGCTCTTCTTGGTGTCAGACAGCCATCTTCCACGGTGCAGCTCGGCCTAAATGACTTCACTTGATGAGTGTGACATGAGCAGATTGAAAGATGGAGGTGTGGTAACACTACAACTACAGCACAATACCTCGGAAATATGAACTCAGTGGTCCTGTAGCTTCTCGAGTCACTGTATTCCCGCAGTGTTTTCTCAACATCTTTACTCAGGGCTGCCACTACGTGTATCTCTCTCATTTATTTCATCTGCTTAAAGTCCTCTCTCTCCTCTGTCTAAAGTTTCAGGATGATGTTAATGCTCTGTACTTTGTGATAACCCAGGGAACAGCTGTGGGAATTCTCTCATTGCGACAGTCATTGTCGCATCCCTGTTTGAAGTCTGCTCAGGTCAACGTCAATAGGAAGTCACCAATTATTTCACTCTCTCCCTTGTGTTTCGATCCTTTTCCCCCTCTGCTGAAATTGTTGCTGTACATGACTGCACTTCTATTAAACAGTGTTTTTATTTAACACTTAAGTTTCTGTGGTTACTTCTCTGTGCATAATTAACCTCATGCTGCTGTAGCGTTTACAATCATCCTATGGCTTTCATTTCTGACTAATTAGAAATATTCATAGGTCCGTCCTAGTGTTGATGAAGAGATCCATTCGGCAGAATTGCCGTCACATCTAAAAAATCAAGTGCTCAACCACCACTTCATGAACTGCACCTGTACAAACTGTTTTGACAGTTGAAATAGACAGCATTGCTATACAAAATATGTTTACTACTGAGGTCATGGTTAAAGCTGGTGCTGGACTGCATTCTAGTCACATGTCTATATTTACATACATGAGTGGGGCAGAACACCACCACGAACTACGACCTCAGTGCTGTGATGGGTGTTAGATTTTAGGTATTGTAAGGTAATTTGGCATTATTCTTACTGAATACAGCTTTCTGAGATAATCCTTTTGTCATTAACTAACCTGGTTAAAGTATGAAAACACTATCTAGAGGTTACACTGGTGAAGTAGTAGGAGTGTAAAAATGCAAAAAATCGTTGTTGGTGGTGTCAAATTAGAATTTACACCCATTAGCCACAACAATAAAACCACATGCTTAATATTGTTTGTGCCCGATCAGATTGGGATCTGGGGAGTTTGGAGGCCAAGTCAACACTTGGGACTGTTTTCCTTCAATGTCTGTGACTGATCACTGTACGATTGATTTTGTGTGTGCAACTGTAGTTATTTACCTACAAACACTGCATAGTCACAGTGCAACAGTAGCTCTTTTAATATACATCTTACTTTAAATAGTCACAACATATATTGCATTTATTTTTTTCTTTTTAATTGGGAAAAATAATTTATGGTAGAGTTACACAAGTCATTCTCACTTAAATTTAACATTCGTGTTCAGGTTGGAACTTAAAGACCATTTTAATTTTAAACAAATATGCCATGCCAATCATAGCATTGCGTAATAATGATGTTGTATATTAATTTTACTTGGAATTTCCTTCCTCCCCACCTCCTAGCGCTTGACGTGAGCATCCTGTTGTAAAGCAGAATCCCGTCTTTGGGGGATGAGAAGCAGGAATGTCTTGAACAGCTGAAGTGTTCCGTTCCTGGGAATTTCCTGTTCTCCTCTCTTAGCCCCACCCTTCAAAAGGCTTCCTGATTTAGACGACTGAGCAGTCAACACACAAAATTCCCCAAAGCCTTTTATCTCTACACACACACCGAGCAGGAGGAACTGCGGCACTCAAGGCTCGATTACTCGCTGGTTCCTCATTCAGTAGAAACAAGGTGTCCTGTTATCAGCTCTTTCCTGCATTATATGAAAATAAAGGCAGCCGGTCAGAATTGAAACTCAGTTGTCAGGCTTTGATGGAGGCATTCATGCAAGCAGACCCACTGCCGGCAGCAAGAGGTCACATGGTTAAAGTAATTTCCCATATAATTACAGCTCTGTAATACTGTCAGGCGCTGCCGATTATATACTGAGCTCTGCACCATTCTGACATTGTTATATTAGAAAGAGTATGACATCTAATGTACATGTGCGGAAACATTTTTGCCCAAACTTAGTGCTTTAGTTGCCATCCAGGATGAGCTGCAGTTTTCCAGTCACATGCCGTGTTTCCCCTTCATGTCGCACAAATATAACACACACGAGATCTTAACTGTTAAATATGAGTGTTTTAATTTAACTGGAGTGTGCTGGAACTGTTTGCTGCCTGACATATACAACCTGCTCAACTGTACACATTCACAGCTTCCATAAAAAATACATCTTTGTATACACAGCATTTACAATATCATACAACAGAGCTGTTACAGGTACATCTCTATGGATGGATGTTGTTTATGACAATGATTTGCAGTGTCCATTGAATACAAGCGATCCTTTTACACAGCAATGCCATCCCATGATAATGTGTCACATGTGATCGTGTGTTTGCTCTCCTGCAGCCGTCAGTCTCTGTTCAATTCTCCTTTGCAGCTGCCTGACCCTCTTGTACTGGTAGCAGTCACACTCTGATCGAGTCGCCCACGCTGTCGTCCTCCTGGCACGTCACCGCAGAAGCAATAATCGTGCCGAACCATTTGTCCTTCATCGTCATCACAGCCTCCTGCCTCTGTCACTTCCTCGCTCTCTCATTTCCTGCTAATGTCCATTCCACTGGATGTCGTCATAACCCACCTGCGGACACAAGAGGGACAGAAACTGGTTACGCATCAAGCGGGAATTGTTAATGTTTTATTCACGCCAGACTGGCTGTGTACTCTGGAAGATCTGTGATTTCAACACACCTCCTCGTCTGACTGCTCGTCCTCTTCTTCCTCACTGTCGTCTGATTCGCTTTCGGGCAGCTCCCTCAGGTCAGGATTGGTCAGTGAGTACAGTTCTTTCCTGATGTCGCAATTGTCCAAACCGTACGTGAGGTGGTAGGGGGTGTGGCCTCCAGAGGTCAGCTGGTTGGGGTCTGCTCCTTTCTGCAGCAACAGTTTGACCAGGGAGAGGTTCTGCTGGTCCACAGCCAGATGCAGCGCACTGCGACCGTTATGCTGCTCCTATACGACCGGGAAAGAACAGGAGTTATAAACTGTGAAATCAACCAAAAAGCTCGATGTTGACTTTTTTGTGTGCGAGTACAGGTACAGTCTTGGTATGTATAGGATGTGTTGTGTTGTTTACCTTTGCATTAATGTCAGCTCCTAGATCCACCATTTTCTCCACCAGTGAGAGGAAACCATAAACTGAGACCAGGTGGAGGCAGTTTTGACCTGTACAAAACATAAGCGGAAGAGTTTAACAGCTGACACCAGACCAGTACATACAATCTCACAACAGCACTTTAACAGGAGCCTCCAAACGAAGGTCACAAGGTAATTTGAATTAGCTTACATAATGCTCCCATGTTATTTCCAATTACTACAGAAAAGTGCGTCAAAGAAACTAAACATCTTTACAATGCTGAGAAATATATGTGCACAAGTCTCCAACTCAAACCATCTACCTTTCTATTTGAAGTCCCAGCATCTAACATTATGTGCTGTGTAATAAATGGGTCTTAGTCACAATGTGATGCCATGAAAGGCTATGGCATTCCCCCTGCTTGCTTTAAATGTTTCCTTCCTCCTAACTATAGTACTCAGGGATAATGGGCAGCAGGAATTACCCCGTGCCCACCATGCATCTTTTTAAATAGCAGTTAAGAGCAGCGGCAGGCTGGTCAGTGTGGAGTCTGTTTCCAAGCAGCGGGGTGGGCCACCACAGAATGGAAAGTACCCTCACCACCATAACTTATCCTAATTCAAACATTTATGTTGCCTAACATTGAAATAGGTGTAATTTTTATGCATTTATCAGAGTTGTAAAAAGTAAAAGTGTGTCCAAAGTGGGAAAAGTCACCGTTCCTATACTACAGTCTTACCGTTATAGTTGCAGGCAGCCATCGCTGTGTGTAGATGCTCTGGCTGACAGTTCTGTGTGATGACGCTGAAGCAATGCAGGTTGCCATGGCGACAGGCGATGTGAAGCGGTGTGTCCCCGCTGTTGTCCACCAGTGTGGGGTCACAGCCGGACACCAGGAGACTGTGACACACGTCTGGCTGGTTCGTTATTACTGCTAGGTGGAGAGGAGTCTGAAGTGGGAAAGACAGAGGAGTTATTCTTTATGTGATAATAGACATTTTTATGTTGGTAGTAAACGGTAACAGATGCAGGCAAATATTAGCAGAGACGATGATAAAAAGGCGTTTCTTGCGCACCTGTCGCAGGTCATTTTGTGTGTTGAGGAAGTCTGTGTTCTTAGACAGGTCAACCATTGTTTTGATGTAGTCCTTGGCCTCGTGGATGATGGCCAGGTGGAGCAACCTGCATACACACAAGAAGAAGGAAGAAAACCTGTTACAATACATATTCACAACACATAGTCAACAACAGTTTTACTCCTGATTGTATTTTTCTATCTCCATTAAAAACGATTTCAGGACCGTTTGACTTTGTGCTGATTTAGGTGAAGGTTCTAAGTAGTTTTTGATTTAATGCACTGGAGAGAATTGCGAAATTGTCGAGCAATGCCCTCTCAAAGGAGACAACACTTAACTGAGTGGTTGTAAAGCAGAGGAATTACCATCATAAATTAGCATCAAGTATAAACTACAAAGAAAAACATTGCAATCCAGATTACATAATCATTTAAGCCATCCAAGCTTGCCTCAAAAGAGAAAACTGCAGATGCAGTTTATTTGTTTAGAACCGAGTTATGTAACTTTATCTACACTCAAGTGCAGCACAACAGCCAGGTTTACACTTGAAGCCGTGAGGGATCAGTGCTTTGGATCACAGCTGAGAAATATAAGGAGGTTTCCAGAAACAGATGATCCAAGTGTTCCTCTGCACTGAAACATTTGTATTCCTCGATTAAATCAGTGTAAAATGGCTTCATGCTTCATTGCTTTGTATGGCGCACTGCCAGTCTTTAGCTCTGAATAATTAAATCACACTTTGACCCAGCATCATGTTAAGTAAAATGTGAGCTTTTGGAGATTTTATAATCCTGTACTGTGTGCGAACTATATTTCTCGGCGGAGGATTTGTGTTAAAATAGCAATAATATGTATTCAATGTTATTCCCCTTGGTTTTATGGCAGTAATAACCCGTATGAGTCTATTTCCGAGTGCGCTTCGCCTCCAGCCTCGTCTCACTGACTTTGCTGTAATTTAAGGAACTTTTTTCTACTTTTTTTCCCCTTCTTCTCGCTTCACGGGAGCGCGCGTCGGTCGGATTCCTTTGGCGGCGCGCCCGGGACTTTCCCACTCTGACCCGCGGCCATAATAGATTCCCTCCTGATAATAGCCTTTTGTTTACGTCCAATTCTGCCGTGTCCGACCACAGCTAGACCCGTTGTCAAACCGGACACCGGTTCTGTGAGTTGTTCGCACTTCAGCAGCGGACTTTTCCTGCCCTCGAGCTTAAAAGCGAAGCCCCGGGTTCAGACGGAGTTAGGCCCGGGCCTGTG